GTACCTGCAGGTGGCAAACTCAAGATCGCGCGTGAAACTGCCCTCCTTCAAGCACATGAGGACCGTGATGTTGGACATCGTCTACATGCGTGTGCAGAAGACGGTTGAGCCGTTGACGACTTGCTGGGATGTGAGCGGGTGTACTTCCATCATAGACGGATCGAGCGATCGTCGGGAGCGGCCTGTGATGAACTTTTTGGCAGCTAGGGTGGATGGGGCAGTTTTGGTGGCGATGGTGTCAATGTCAGGGAGGAAGAAGATTGGACCTGCATTGGCGAAATTGTGGGAGCAAATCATGAGGGAAACTGGACTGCGTTGAATCAATGCGATCTTCACCGACAACACAGAGGTCAACAAAAGGGCTGCTCAGATCTTGGAGCGACGAACTGACAAGGAGATAGCAAGGATCCCGTGGGTTCCTTGCGCTGCACATTGCTGCAGCCTTCTTTTACATGACCTCAACAAACTCGATTGGGTGAAGAACACCGTCAAGAGGGGCCACACAATCCTCAAGTTCATCAGAAATCACCATAGCACGCACATGATGACAGTGGACGATTCGTTCTCTTCTTCTGCCCACAGAGGTGCACTTTGGGTTAGTCTACCAAATGTTGGAGAGGGTGCATGACAGGAGGGCGGTGTTGAAGGACATGGTTAACGGTCGGAATGCAGCGGAGTGGAATCCTGTGGGCGACGTCGAAGTTGAGGGCCAGATCGGATTTGGTGTACTTCACATTGAGGAATGACGAGTGGTGGATGGGGCTGAAGAAGGTGGTTGAGGTGATGGAGTGCGTGTTCAGCCTTTTGAGGCGGATGGATTAGGACGGTACTGGTCCTACAAAGCTTGTTGAGTATGATGACATGATAGAGAGGAAGTTTGGCCATGTCGTTCTTACAGTGGAGCAGCGGGCGAGCATAGTGGAGAAAGTCGGAGATCACATGATGATGATGCGGCAGCCCGTCCACGCAGCAGCCTTTCTTTTGGGCCCGCGCATGAGAGAACCAAGGTTGCTGCATGACCAAGACAGTGCGTTTGTGCAGAATGCCATGCATTTTCTCTCGAGGCAGGTTGGAGGTGAATGGAAAGGGCTAGCGCACATTGAGATTTGGGGTGCAAGCCCACAAGGAACGGCCCAAAAAGGAATGACACGAAGATGTGGGACCCCACAACGAAGTTGGATGTTGACAAGAAGACACCGTCAGAATGGTGGGCAGCACATGGTGGCGAAGTGCCCGAATTGCAGAAGATTGTGATCAAGGTTATGGGCATGTGGAGCACCGCATCACCGACGGAGAGGAATTGGGCTTCCATGGACTTCGTCCACTCCAAACGAAGGAACAAGTTGTCGCTAGAAAACTTGGCGAAGCTAGTGTACATCCACTGGAACATGCAGCTACTGCGTGTTCCAAAGACTAAGAACAGCGGATTTGTGGACTTGTGGTGTGACTTCGTCGAGCCCGTCCCAGAGCCTGAAGAGAACGGCGGATCATTGTCAAAGGGGCCCGAGGATGAGGCTGAGAAGATAGAGGAGGAGCTTGTACCAGAATAGAGGCTCACAAAGACTCCAAAGGGAAGGGTTCCAAAAAATCTCGAGGACGAGGACGAAGAGCTCATGGACGACAGTGATTTGGATGACGAGTTGTGGAAGGGGAAGTGTGGATTGTCGGAGGACTCAAGTGGTAGCGAAGAGGAGGCCGATGACAACTCTGATTTCGAGCTACGACCGGAGCCAGCCGTCCCGGGCACGGGGTACGTCGGAAAGAGGTGGACCGGACGACAACGCAGAGAAGGGCTACGCCCAGCAGTGATGGAGCCCAGGGTAAGGGAAACAACACTGTACAATCCGCAATCTGATGTGGAGTGTGCACGAGTAGATCCGGATGTTGAGACGTTGCTGCAAACCAGGGTGGATACAGATGAGGAGGATGCGAACCGTGCCAAGGCTATGGCTGACCGGGAGACCGAACTTGTCAACAAACATATGATGGAGGAGGAGGCCCGCCATGCAGCTATCCTGACCCGCAGAGAGATCGAGAGAGGTCTAGAACAAGCCAGGGTGCATCAACAGCAGGTCAATCGGGCATTGGAGGTTGTGGAAGATGGAGGAGAGGAGGAGGAGGAGCACCAAGCAGAGGTTGGAGATGACATGGAGCACGAAGAAGGAGCGGAAGGCATGGTGCAACCAGAGGAGGGAGAGGAGATGGAGCACCAAGAAGAGGAGGAAGGCATGGTGCAAGGCGGGGAGGAAGAGGAAATGCGGCAGGAAGAGGAGGGGGATGGATTAGTGCAGCAGGAGGTGCAGCATGACGAGGTCGATACGGCCCGCGAAGACGAGCCCCCTCCCACAGCGACAACAGTCTAGACACGCAGGCCTCGGCCAACCAGAAGCGGTTATCGGGTAGCTGAAAATTCAGGAATGAAAATTCTGAAGTGAGAGTTTTGGGCAGTCTGAAAATCCTGAATGGTCCTGAAGTGGTGAAAGGTCTGAAGACCCTGAAAACCACCTGCTTAGGCAGGCTGCATCCTGAAGTGGTGAAGGGTGTCCTGAAGTGGTCAAGTGAGAGTTTTGGGCAGTCTGAAAATCCTGAATTGTCCTGAAGTGGTGAAAGGTCAGAAGACCATGAAAACCACCGCTTACCACTTGAGGATGTAGCCTGCCTAAACAGGTGATTTTCAGGGTCTTCGGAGCTTTCACCAGTTCAGGACCATTCAGGATTTTCAGACCTGAATGGTCCTAAAGTGGTGAAAGCTCCGAAAACCTTGAATACCACCTGTTTAGGCAGGCTGCATCCTGGAGTGGTGAAGGGTGTCGTGAAGTGGTGATGAAAAATACGACTGTTGTTAACCTTCTCTCCCTGTGGGTGAGCCGAGTGGGCAGGAAGAGAAAGGAGCCATCACAGGACGCTCCTGCATAACTGAAATGTCCTCGTGGCAGACCTCGAAAGCCCAAGATTGACGCGGCCACTACACCGGCTAAAAAAAAGCAGCAGTGCCGCAAGCGCAAGATGGTGGTGGAGGATGACCCGGAATCAGCTGACTGCAGCGAACAGCCATCTGAGGACGAGGGCCGCGACGCTGATCCCGAATGAGATCAGCATGTCCAAGTGTGTGTGTGTGTGTGTGTGTGTGTGTGTGTGTGTGTGTGTGTGT